CCAGAGCTGGATGTGGGGCCAGGAACTCTCTAGTTGCAATTCGAACAGCCCCAATAATTCTGATTCTAAAGCCCCACCTCAGCCCAGGACATCCCTTGAATAAGGGTCCAGGCCAAGCCCTCCAGGAGGAACCAGGACCCTCCACCCCCGTGAAAGACAAACTATAAAGAAATGGCCCCTTCTCCAGGCCAAGCTGGCCCAGGGTCCCCAATTGCTCACTCACCTGCTCAGGATGTGGTCTCGGCTCCTCTGATCTGCAGCCCCTGGGTCCCCAGGGTCAGGGCGGGCGCACTGCCAGAGGCCTGACCCCTGTTCTGACTTTTCTGGGGAGCCACAGAAGCTCTGAGTACGCCGAAGTCACACCCTTCTTCCCTTCCTGAGCGCGGGTGGGTCTGGGCTGAGGGCACCTGATAACCTCCCCTACGCATCTGAGGGGCCCCATCAGGCCACAGTGGAATCCCAGCCTCACAGAGTAGGGAGGTGGCCCCTTCGTGACAGGAAACCCAGCCTCAGATGTGCTGACTGAGCCTCTAGTCCAGGCACGTAGCCATTGAGAGCAGAACAGGCTCCAGGTGGCCTCCAGGGGCCTGTCCAGTCCTCCTGGCCAGGGAAAGCCAAGTGTGTGGACTCCCAGGTCCCCATTCTGACTGGCCCCCTCCCACCACTACTCCAGGAGAGCCCTGGTGGTAAGAACTGATGGATCTCTTGGCCAACAGAGACTCCTAGAGAGACAGCCAAACTCAGGTGTGGTCCAAAAGAAAGCAGGTAGCAGCCTGGAAGAAAGGTGCTCTCGAGCCCTTCTTGAGGGGGTTTACAACAGCCACATTCGAGGTGGCAGGGAAAGATCTCCAGGCAGAGGGGTCTGGAAGTCTCTGACCATGTTCAAAACCTTCTGGACAATACCGGAAGCAGCAAAGAATGAAGAAAGAGCTCAGACTTCAGAGCCAGGCAGCCTTGGATGGGAGTTATGTAATCTTGGCTAAGTCACTTCACTTCTCAAAGCTTTGGTTTTTCATCTAGAAAATGGTGATGGTTCGCTTACCACTCCTGTGGTAAGAATTGAGTGAGGTAAGGTGAGCCTGACCCAAGCCAGCTCTCCACGGAGACCAGAACCTCAGGCAGAGGGACCAGAGGAGCAGCAGAGCAGCCATGGCCGAGGCTCAGGCAACCCCCCAAGACCACAGCCCAGCCTGGTCACTACAAGCCCTTTATTAACAAGTTGATTTAAAAAAAAAAAAAAGGAGAGAGAGAGAGATGTAAAAAATATTTTTCTTGGAGACCCCAGGACGTGGAGGCACTGTCAGAACTCACCGGACCAGGGAAGGCAACACAGCCAGAGGCAGAACGGAAATTAGGGCCCTGTCCAGGGAGCAGCTGGCACAGGGCGCTAAGAGCGGGGATGGCTCGGGCCTCAGGCAGGGAATGTGCAAACGCCGAGGCCGCCAAAGAATGATGGGTTGAGGGCTTCCCTGTGGAAGCCCTGAGCACCGTGTTCCTCTATGTGGGCAGACACGTGTGTCCACATGAGAGCCGGTGCCTGCACACAGCTTACATACAGAGAACAGAAGGAGGGGTCCCCCTGCACAAATGGGGGAGGGAGGAGGAGAGGAAAGTGGACTCATCCCAGAGCTTAAGGAAATAGCTTAGAGAAGTCTCTGGAAGCCTGGGAGCAAGTGGAGGGCACAGAGGCTGCTGTTCCTGTTGGGCCTCAGGAGCCCAGGCCCTCCTGCCGTCGCTGGAGGACCTCGATGACATTGCCGATGCCGTCCTCGGGGACCTGTGGGCAGATGGGAGGGAGGGGTCAGGGCCACTCTGACTTCCTGGCCTACTGGGACTAGCCCCACCCTTCTGGGCCTCGGTGTCCCTCTAGGCGCCCCCACTCCAGCCCGTAGTGCTCACCAGAGCATGGTCAAAGTTGAAGGTGCTGATGTAGTAGGCAGAGATGTCAGCTGCAGCCAGGGGACCCGCAATCTGGGCCACAATCCCACATTCATCTGAGGGTCGAGGAGGGGTCCATGTGGATCACCCTGGTCACCCCACAGGCCCTTCCCAAGCCCCCAACACACAGGGAGTGGCCCTCACCAAAACCCAGGGGCTGTCCTCCGATGCGCACCATCCTCCACAGCTCTCCTGAGGAGCTGGTCAGCAGGAGATCACTGGGGAACCTGGGGGAGGCAGGGGAGGCTGGTGATCTTAGTGTCTGACGCTCTACCTCCTTCCTCCCTGGACCTGGCTTAGGGTCTGTGGCCCACTTGGGGTCAGGAGTCACATACTTTTTCTGCGTCTCGGCATCCATGACGATGGAGATATAGCCCTCAATGAGGGAGAAGGCAAAAAACGTGATGGAGCTGGGTCCAGGATCTCCAGGGGCTGCCTCTTTGGGGGCACTGGGGAGGGACAGAAGGCTCATGTATTCTGCTGGGCATGCAGCCCACTTCATCCTCTCCCAGTCAGGGAGCAGCTGGGCAGGCCCTCCTGTTTCTGGGCCACTTTCAATCCCTGTCTGAGGACCTTGATCGCCTGATGGTGCCAGGTGGGGATGGGGGAGGATGATGAACAGTGCCTGTGCCAAAGATGCAGGACCCCAGGGCCAGAAGGCCTGAGCAGGGCGGGGCTCAGGGGTGGCTCTGCAAGAAAGGGCTACAGCTGCAGCATTGAGACCTTCCCCAAACATCAGTGAAAAGTACATGGGCATCACAAGATGCCAGGAACCCAACATACAGGGCATATAGTTAGAGACAAAGGATGGGTGGAAGGTGATGGGACAGAACATAGGGAACAATGGTGTGAGGACAAAGAGACTAAGCACAGAAGAGACCCACCTGTGGGAGTAGAAGAGGACATCGATAAGGGTGGTGGCGATGGCTGGCAGTGTCTCAGGGTCCAGCGTGAGGACACAAAAGCGGTTCTGCGGGCTCTGGATGGGATGCACTGTTGGGCTAGGCCCTGCTAGGGAGGAACCAGGTGAAGAGTGAAAAAAGGACCATGGTCTGGGGCGCCCCCTGGTGGCTGGCCAGGGAGGGGCCTGGACTGGGCGGAGGGTCCTGCCCTACAGGAACCCGCCTAGGTTTCCCCAGCCCCATCTCCCTATCTTGTGAGGTAATCAGTGTCAGCTAGTCTCCTCCCACACAGACCCGCCCAAACAAGCAAAGGGCCCCAGTGGGAAGAGGAGCCCCTCGCCCAAGTCTGGGTGTCAGAGGGCACCCTCACCATGCTGAGTGCGGGGAAAGCCATTGCTGGAATCATCCCTGGCAACAGGTACAGGCTCCCCGCCCACCTCTCGGTAAATGTCGAACTCCTGGGCCAGTGTGTGGATCACCAGGGACAGGTCCTGCTCCCGCACCTGGGCCGTAGGGAGATGGCATATCACATGGGTCCCCAATCGCCCATGCCCACCTATGCACACCCTGCCCTACACCAGCACCTGTGGGAAACTCACCAGGATGAAGTCTGTCTGGTAAGTGGACAGCATCAGCACAGACACATGGTGTTCCGCCAGTGGTGCAATGACTGAGCGGGCAATTTTGGTGACCCCGGCAGCTTGCACTGCTGTGCCGCTGTGGGATGACACATTCATCACCAGCCATGTGGCCTCAGCCACTTGCAGGAACTCAGATGGGGGCAGTTCTGAGGACAAAGTGCACATAACTGGTCAGGGCTTGCAAGGCTGGCCCTCTCAGTTTCCTCGTCTGAGCCTTGGAGAGCTCTACCAAGGTAAGGTTGGGTCCGGGGGTTGGGGCTGTGTCTCTCTCCCCCAAGTTCTGTTCCTGATATCTGCACGTATACAAGAACTGAGATGTGCTTTAGGTGCTGGCCTGCCAGGGATCTAAACTCTTCAGTTAAGATCAGAGCCCCAGATTCAGAAAGACCTGTGTTCAAACCTCAGCTTTGCCATTTACTTGCTGTTGACCTGGTGCAAATGATTTAACTTCTCTGAGTCTCAGTTTCCTCATCTGTAAAATGGGATGACAGACAGTATGTACCTCATGACAGTGTTCTGTGGGTTAACAGAGGCTTTATACCATGTGTCACCAGGAGGGGGCGCCAGTAGATCGGGTTGGCTGGTGGATGCCCTTCCCCCTTAATCAGACCTAACCTTTCCTACAATACAAAACAGGGAAACAAAGGCCTGAAGCAGCCAGCACAGTAGAGGATGGACGAAGCCCTAGTTGGCTGTCCTGAGACTTCAAGCTTGTGAGGATGGATCAGGCTGGCAGGAATAGGAGCCATATGTCAGCTCCAGGGGCCAAGGAGGAACAAGGCTGGTGTCCAGTCTAGACTAGGGGCCCCGGGGCCAGGGTGGCTGCTAATTGCCCAAGCACAGCCAGGAGGTCCCCAAGGACCATGCCCTGGGTTGGCTGCCTGCTCCTGCATTTCTTTCCAAAGCCTCACACTCCTGGAGTTCCCAGACCAGCCCAGGAGGTGCTGGCCAGCACCAGGGAGAGAAGTCTAGGGGGAAATAATGGCCAGGGGCTGTAACAGCCACAGGAACCTCTGATTCTTGCCAGGAAGTGTAACTGAGGCCCCGCTGCTGGTCTGGGGCTGCTAAGTGCCCTTCACATACAGCCCATTTATAAAACCCTCATGGGACCCTATTATATTAGAACCATAACTATGCTCATTTTACATAAGAGGAAACAGCTCAGAGCGGGAAGTTACTTGCTCAAGGGCACACAGCCAGTGAGTGGTGGAGTCGAATAAGAGCTCAGATGCATCTGCCTTCAAGGCTTCAGCTCCCAGAACACTGGACCCCAGCATCTGGTGAGAACCCCGCAAAAAGCATAGAGCGACATCCCTCCCCAGCCCAGCCCCCACCTTTGAAGCCCTCCTCGTCCACCATGAGCGTGTAATCCTCGGGAGTCTCCGTCAGGCTGAAGAACTTGCACCTGGTCGGGGGTTGGGAGCATCTTCAGCCTGGGTTGGGCGCAGGGGGCGGGTAGACTTCGCTCCAACCCTCCGAAAAGACACCTCCCGCCCCGGGCTCCTCTCAGCCCCCACAAGCCTTAATTTTCTCTCAGTGGCAGTGGGTGTGGGTCCCATCTCCGGAATCCCGAACTGTTTTCTGCCTCCTGACCTCCGCAGGAGCCCCCCGCCCCTCCACTCTGGGAGGGAGGAGAGGCTCGCCTGCGGCGACAGCCCCGGGGCATCTGACCTGGGGTCCCCTAGACTGGCCCCTCTGACTCGATGGGAGGCGTCTGGAAGAAGCTCCCGCAGACGCCAGGAAGGAATGCCCCCAGTTGACACCTCTCGAAGTTAAGCATTGCACACCCCAGGCTGTTTGCGCCTTAGCTGGCCCGGGATAGGCGGCGGTCCCAGGGAGGGTAAGCCCAGGCCAGATGGCGGCCGGGGTGGGGTGGGGTGGGGTGGAAGGGCCCTCCCCGCCCACTCCCGCTCACCCCCGCTCGCCTCGTGACGACCCTAATCTCCTGACCCCGTCCCGGAGCAACAGTGGAGCCCACCCCAATCTGTGCCCCGGAACCCCGGCGCGCACCGGTTTCGGCGGGGCAGGAATAGCAGCTTGATGAGAGGGTGGGTGTAGAGCCAGAGACCCGGGCGGGCGAGGCTCAGCACCCGCACCCGGTGCTCTAGGATGTGCAGCTCCATCGCGGTCGGAGCAGACCGGACCCCACCGCCAACCAGACCCAAGCCGCGCCGGGGGCGGGGCGGGGGGGCGGTGCCGGAGACTTAAAGGAGCCGCTGCGCCGCCGCGTTCACACCGCAGGCTACGCCTGGGACCCGCCCTGCCGCGTGCCGCGTACGGCTCCTGACGGCCACGCCCCGAGGAACGCGCGGCCTATTCAGAGTGGCCACGCCTCCTTCTTCCGACAGAGCCTCACCCCGCTCTAGTCTGACGAGCCCCGCCCAGGCTGACTCCGCCCCTTTAACTCTGGTTTAGGGATCTCCAGAAGACCCCATCCCCGTCGGGTCCTCCAGACCCCGCCCCCTCCTCTGGCCCCGCCCTTTCCACAGGTTGCGTCAATCTAGGGGTGGGAAGCATGTGTGAAACGTGGGGTCATTTCTGTCCCTTGGGCCCCTATATGGGTCTGGAAGAGCCATGAGGTTAGTCGGGGCTCGGCTGGGACCAGAGCACTGCCCACAAATGCCTGGAGCATGGAGAGAGGGTTCCACTCTGCATCTCGGGCAGCCTTATGATTCTCTCCCAACAAAGTATCCTCGTGTCTTTCTCCCTCCTTCCTCTAATGGAAGAAGAAAGCTCCCCGCACCAGGTCACAGAGATTGGAAGGGCCCCATCCACCTCTGTCTGAGCAATATACTGTTGGGTAGGGCACTGAAGGTAGCTAGGCCTAAGGAGACCCCTTAAGACTAAGTGCTTGGGCCAGGAATGACCAAGGCTCAGACTTAAGGGGACAAGTCCATGTATCTGGGGCTCACTGGGTAATATATGTCAGACCTGAGTCTTGAGCCCTGCTGAGGCTTCTCAAAGCCTGCAGCCATTAGTAGAACCTAGTTGGCCTGGGCACATCTAAACTTGCTTAATGCCCAGGGAGGCCCCAAGCACTGGCAGATGCCCCAGATCTGAGGCTTGTTAGGACCAGCTTGGGCTCATTTCAACATTATGTTCTGCTCAGGCCTCTTCAAGTCTAAGAAGACCCCAAGGCTGAGCAGGCTTCAGCACACTTCTGCTGGCCCAGTAGCAGGACCCAGCATGCTCCGGGGGACCCGTGTCTGGCCCAAGCATCCTCAGGTTTCAGATCTGATGTTTTGAACTAAGCAGGTTAAAGCAGGCCTGCACAGGCCTCCTGCCTGCCTGGGAGCCTCCAGTATAGGTGGATAGAAGCTGGGCAGTGCCTTTCCTCCCTGGACTCTCTGGCTCTGAGTTCACATGGAACACTGTGTAACCGCCACATCCTGGGCTGTCCCCTGGAGGGTCAGGAAGAGGGGACTCCTCATAGGCTGAGCCCTTCATCTCACTGATGGTGCAGATGAGGTGGAAAACCAGAGGTGAGTGTTGGGAGGCAGGAAGCAGATGACCTGCCCTAATAGGCTCATATGACCCTTGACCTCCTCAGGCCTCAGTATCCCCAGCTGTACTAGGACAAGATGTTCGAGGCCAAGACCCTGCAATGCCTGAAAGCTCCTAGGGAGGCTCTAGTCCCGCTCCAGTCCCCTCCCCCCATGGCCTGACCCAGCTTGGTGGCCTGCCAGGAACAGCCGCTATTGTTTGACTGGAAAAGCTGCTTCCTCAGCAGAAGGGGGGCCTCTCCCAGGGACACCCTGTCCGTACCCTCGCCAGTCATCAGGTTGTGACTATAATGCCCGCCTGGACCCTCAATAGCAGAGTCAGGTCACCTGGCACCCTAGTCAAAAGAGGCAACTGAGGGGCTCTGCATGCAAATTTGGACCACTTTACCTTTCCCACTCAGCTCCTCAGTTGCCTCATCTGTCAAATGGGGACAATAATAGAGCCTACCTGATCAGCTAGTGACACAACCAGCTTAGTGTGGCACATGCTAAGTGCTCAGTAAATTACAGGTGGCCTTTTATCAAAGACTGAGACTTCTTCCTTCACCCCTCTCCTCCAATGGAGGCTCAGGCTGAACATGTGAGGGCATTCATTCATGGTCTCCTACCCCTGGCACCAGCACTCAACATAGAATGAACACTCAGAATCTTATTGGGGTCCAAAGTGGCACCCAGGCTGGTCCCTGAGGAAGAAGACTCTTAAAGGACCTCCTTAAGGACCCCCACCCTGTCAGTGATGAGTAGGAATCAAGGCCTGAGGAGCAGGCCCTGCTCTGTCTCAGCACTGGACTCCAGTCCTGGTGATCCTCACCCATGGCAGATGGTAGATATGGGACAGAGGGAGTGGGTGAGGGAAAATGTGGGCCAGGAACAGGGGCTGGCCCTGGACGTGGCATCCCCTCTAGCAAATATACTTCTCAGAGAGACTCTAATGCTGGACTAGGGTCAGGATGGGGGCTTGTGGGGCATGGAGAAGAGATGCCGAGCACCAGGGATGCCACCCCATTCCCAGTCCCTAGCCACACACCAGCTCTCTACACAAGCCTGTTTATTTCTGTACAAAACCATGTTTCTATTTTACACAAAGAACACCCCACTCTTCACCCCACCCTCTCCCCTCATGTCAGTGCCCTAGCCCTGGGAAGCATCTCCCCAGAAGGAGGGGCCTGAGTGAGGCTCTCACTCCTGCCTGCTCCAGCTGGGCCAGCCTGAGCTCCACTGGAGATAATAAATAAAGAGGCTCAAGCAGAATCTGTGCTGGGCCAGCCAGACTCTCTACACCCAGTGACCAGGCAGCTCAGCCCTCAGAGGGTGGGCAAGCCCTGGAGTGTCAGTCCGTGAACCATGTAGGTGTGTGGAGACCCCGCCCTGGAGGCCTGAGCTGCCAGGGTTACAAGTAGGTGTCTTCACTCTCCTGGGATGTCAGGCTCTCCTGGGAGCGGTGATGGGCTGAATCCTGAGGAACTGAATCCTGGGGAGCTGAGTCCTGGGGGGCTGGGTCCTGGTGGACTGGGTCCTTTGGGGGCACATCCTGTGGGGGACATGCATTTCCCACAGCGGGCACCAACTTGGCTTGACTTGAGGTCGAAGTCTTGTCCAGCTGCCCACTCTCCTTTGCCTGCTTCTGCTGCTCCTTCTGCTCCTTCTGGTTCTGCTTGGGTGGCTTGGGCTTGCCTTTGGAGCCAGGGAGGAGGGCATCTGGTGGCAGGCGGATGGACGGTGAAGGTTGCAGGGTGGGCCGGGGGCCTGGCTCTGCCTCCAGGATGGCCTTGGCGCCATGCAGCCTGGGTGGGGAGCGGCACTGCAGCTCACCACGGGTTTCCTGCCAGCGCCGCAGCTGGATGAGGTGTTCTCGCTCAATCTGGCGCTCTGTCACTGGCAACTCTACCACCTGTGACAGGCAGGTAGGCATTAGGAAGAACTTTCCCCTCTTCCTCCCAGCCTAGGCTCCTGCTCTGCCTCAGCATCCCCTACTCCTGGTTGCTAATGGCTGACCCTAGGAAGAATAAAGGTCTGGTTCTTGCAATGGTCACAAGTCCCAGAGCTGAGTGCCAGGTAAGCCAGGCACTTAAGACCCAGTGCCTTAGAGAAGAAAGATGCCCACAATCCATGGCTCTACTCGCCTGTGTTACCTAATTACAGCCCCTGAGAGACAAAAATCTACAAAAGAAAGAAAAAAGGGAAAATCAGGCCAAGGCCATGGATGTGGTACCAGGGAGGAAGAGGGGGCGATGGGTTGGAGCTCCTCTCATTCCCAAGTGGTTGAGAACAGGGAAGGCCCTACAACCTAGGGCTCTCTGCGCCCCTCTTCTTGTTCAGATAGCAGGATGAGATTTACCCACACCATCCTGGGCTGCAGTGACACAACCTCAGGGGAAGAGGGTTACCAGACTCCCCTCCAAAGGGTCCCACATCTCCCCCTCCCTCCCAGTGGTGAGAGGAAGGTGTGGGCCGCACCTCCTGGACCAAGAAAGCCTCCTGCATGATCTTGGGGCTGAGGCTCCGCAGCCGCTCGATAGTCTCATACTGGCCCTGGCAGGCCTTGAGCTTCTCCGGGGAGCCCAGCGCATGCTTCAGCAGCACCAACCCCACCCGAAAGATGATCTTGACTCCTGCGGGAAAGGGGTAGGGTGGCTGGTGAGTGCAAGGGGGCCTTTAAGGAGTTTCCTTGAAAATGGAAGCCCCCCCCTCACCATGGGCTGGGCTGGGCTGGGGGCAGGGGTGCTCCCTCAAGCTCAGCCCGGTACCTTCGCAGAAGAACATGTCCCAGACACGCAGAACAGAGCTCCAGGGCAGCGTGCGGGCAAAGGCACACATGAACCACTCTGTCATGTAGAGTAGCGGGTCGATCTTCTGCCGGCTGAGGTGCTTGTGGGCCACAGGTGACACCTTCTGCAGCAGCGAGAAGAGGATCTCCCCATCCAGCTGGATCGCCTCCTAAGGGGACAGTGAGGCCATGACCATGGGCCTGCAGCAGCCAGGGAAGGGACTGCACCTGGCCACCAGCACCAAACAGGCGTTCATTTGTTCCTCAGATGGCTACTGCCTGCAGGAAGCCAGCCCTGTGCTGGGATACAATGATGAACAAAACAGCCAGCTGGTCCCCCTCATGAGTGTGTAGTGAAAAGGGGCAGACAGACATGAGTCACAGAAACAAAAAGACTAGGGAGAGGGTGAGGGGGGCTAAGTGCCCAGGACATGGCATGTCCAGGAATGCAGGATGACCATGTGCTGGAGGTCCCGCCTGTCAGGGTCAAGGAAAGTTCCAAGAGGGCAGAAAGATGAGGGATAGGAGGAGTTATCAGAGGAAAGAAGGGAAAGAAAAGGGCAGAGGTTTAAGCCTACGCCAAGGCCAAAGCAGGAAGGAACTTGGTGGAGGAACCGTGATCCTGCCAAATGGCCAGAGAGCTGGAGGCGGAGATGGAGGCAAAAGTGGAAGTGATGATGCTGGAGCCTAGGAGACCTGACCCTGGCAGGCCTGGGGACTTCAGCCTGAAAGCAACAGAAGGATGAGAAGGTTTCAAGTAGGGGCAGAGGTGCCTGTGAAGAGAGAGGCCTGAAGAGGCCAAAATGGTGTCTAGCCTGGGGCAGGTCCTAGGCTAGGTCCTGGGTCTAAGCAAGCACTCACCAGTTTCTCACTGTAATAGCCAGGTAGGTACTTCTCACAGATCTGTACCAGGCACCAAAAGGCTTGCTGTGGGTGAGAAAGACATAAGACCTTGCTGCTGGGTGTTCCCTGCCCAC